GTAAAGAAAGGTCCTATGGAGAGGTACAGTGTCCTCTCCATATGCCCCCATGTCATCAGCAGTCAAAGCTAACGGTTCCAATGACAGCACACACCATAAGTATTCATTAGCTCTACAGAGGAGAAACATCACCTGAGGTAAGCACTATACTATCCTACAATCCAAACAGCCAACATCTCAATGATATAGGCTATGCCTTTTTGTCCACTGTGATGGGACCTGTTGACTACTGAAATTCCCTCAAAAAGGGAAAAAGTAGGAAGGATCATTGGGACCTCACCTGAGCCTTCAGCCACTTTGTAGCCAAATTTGTGTATGCAATTCTGTCAATTTACAAGTGGCCACTAGTTTTGTGGAGGTACTGTTGCATACAGGTTGGCCAAGGCCAACTAAAGAAACTCCATCTACAAGACCATGGAGAAACCATCAGCTGTACTAAGAGAATACTTTCCAGGGCTCCTGTTTTTGAGTCACCCACACTACTGTGAGAAAGGCCACACCCTGAATTATAAGTAAACCCCAAAAAGTCAGTTAGTTCCCTAGAGTGAACTTTGGTGGAATTTGACTTCGGAGGATGAGGGTAGATGTCTTTCCCTGGGAGAAAGCTTTGAAAACAGCAGGTCACAGAGACATTCACTATTTTGTGTCATAGCAATTTGCTCCTTTGATCGGATCTATTTTTCTGCTCTTTTGAGAACTGGGGACAGAGTTGTTCAAACCTGCAACCACTTGGCGAGGCAGTTACTGATCAGCTCTCTTCTAAGACAGTAAGTATTTGTCCAGAAAAACATAATCCAGCCAATGAGCTAAGTGCCAATTAAAACACTTTCTTTTGACAGAATGGAAACATATCATAGGAGCCGTGGTTTTATAATCAGACAAGGGAAGGAAAAGCAATTTGGTTTTAGAACTACACCTTTTTTCCCGTTCTCTCTTAAAAGTATATAATTGCACTCTCAGAGTGAAAAGATTAGTTGCCTTCAACAGACTCTCAGGGAAAAAAAAAATCCTATTATTTCCTCTCTACTAAAGAGTAATGTCTTCCATAATTACAGGAAAGCCATGTATTAAGTTGCCTGCTCAGGAAATGCCACCCTAATAGAATGCAAAGTTAATTCACTCTCCGCATGTCAAGAAAGAAGACCAGGCCCTCTCTTCTCATGTCCATCGACATCTGTAAGTCTTCAGACTGTAACTCCCTCAGCCAGAGGCACTCAAGGACAATCCATTAATTTAAAGACTCTCCTCAAGGTTCACTCTGAAGACCCCCATCAAGCACAGACAGTCAAATTCATCAGATTCAGTTACTCTACAGGCGAGAAGTCAAAGGACAAAAAAGGGACTGTGATATGTATTGGCCTAGCACAACACAAAAGCAATCCTACCTATCGTTCTAAGATGTTTTAATTATAGTGTGTGTGTGTGTGTGTGTGTGTGTGTGTGTGTGGTATATGTGAGTATATGTACTTGCTGGAGTTGGTTCTTTTCCTTCTACCGTGTGAGTTCCAAGGATTAAACGTGGGTCAATGGGTTTGGTAGCAAGGGCCTTTACCTGTTGACCCATCTCAATCACCTCCATCTAGACCTAGAATTCTAAACATACTGTGTCTCACCTTTTACCAGTCAGTGTTCACACAAGACAAGATACCTTAACCCTACAAATGTTTCTCCTCTCATTTAAATGTCTACATTGAGCCATTACTCAAACTTAAAACAAGTTGTGCTAAATAAGAAGGTGAACCCAAAGAAAAACATATAGGCATCCTCCTGAATATTAACCTTCATCAGGCGATGAAAGGAGACAGAGACCCACATTGGAGCACCGGACTGAAATCTCAAGGTCCAAATCAGGAGCAGAAGGAGAGAGCGCACAAGCAAGGAACTCAGGACCGTGAGGGGTGCACCCACACAGAGACAATGGGGATGTTCTATTGGGACTCACTAAGGCCAGCTGGCCTGGGTCTGAAAAAGCATGGGATAAAACCGGACTTGCTGAACATAGCGGACAATGGGGACTACTGAGAACTCAAGAACAATGTCAATGGGTTTATGATCCTACTGCACATACTGGCTTTGTGGGAGCCTAGGCAGTTTGGATGCTCACCTTACTAGACCTGGATGGAGGTGGGTGGTCCTTGGACTTCCCACAGGGCAGGGAACCCTGATTGCTCTTTGGGCTGATGAGGGAGGGGGACTTGATCGGGGGAAGGGGAGGAAAATGGGAGGCAGTGGCGGGGAGGAGGCAGAAATCTTTGATAAATAAATAAACAAACAAACAAGTTGTGTTCTTTCCGCCCACTATGGTCTTCCTTCACAGATCTCTATGGCACTCTACTTGATCACATTATTGGTAATTTAAATAATCATGAGGCTCAGAAGGAATAACTTAAGAAACCAACTTCAGGAAATTCATTTTTCAGTAGGGTAGCAGCAGAGATTATTTACCAGTAACAAGTATCATGTTCTCACCTCAGTTATCAACTCTATTTTCTCTTAAATAAAATTATTCACAAAGTAGTACATTCATGCATGAAGAAAGGACATAGGAAGATATGATGTTTTGGAATTATAGGTGAAAGGTAGAAATCTTGATTATTTGCGGGGAAAAAAAGTACTCTTCAAACGTAAAACAATGAAAGCTTGGAATTCAAATAACAATAGTACCCAAAGTAGCATTTAACCATGAAGACAAAAAGTTAATCAAAATCCAGACACATGACCCCAAGTCTTCTGTTATGATTATTAATGTTTTCAGAAATGAACCATGAAAGCCCTGGTTGCACAGAAATCACAAAGAAGTGCTTTAAGACCAAGGAAAGAAAAGTGAGATCAGGTAAGTGAAGAATACGTAACACTTGGCCTCCACATGGAAGTAAAGTGGTCTCTTGCCTGATAAGGTAGTCCTACATCATGTTAGAAAGGCAAGAGGGTCTGGGTTGAAGGTGTCAATATTGTAAGCTGCTCTCCACTGGTTATTGTATTTTCATATCAGTTAGGAACACAAATTCCAGAGCAACATTACCTCTTACAGACCCTAGTCTTCCATCCCTTTCCCCAACTCCTCACACCCAACACACACACACACACACACACACACACACACTTAAAGGATCTTCATTTAACTTTGGTTTCTATCTAACTTTCCAACTCTATACTCCTGCTGTGAACTCAGTTTATCCTGCTACATCTTATGCCTTCATGGAGAGCGGCTTCAAAGACAAAATATGCTGTCTGCCCATGTTGCTTCTCGAAATAGTTGTAGGTCATCTTCCCTCCATCCTATGATCTGCGGCTCTTTCCTCTCTATGCCCAATTCTAACATCAAACAAAGACAACATAATATTCATGGGAAACAGAGAAAACTATGGGGCTAGAGAGATTGTGTCTAAACCCCGCACTTCAAGGTGTTCTCTGACAAGCTCTTCATCTCCTGCAGCCCCAGTTTCCATTCTTCTAAAGCACACATGGTGACTACTCACGGGGCAGGGTTACTGAATGTCTTGCTAGCTATGCCATACACCAAAAGCCTGTAGCATAGTTACTGCAGACTGTGTAACTACAGATAAATGTTAATAACACTACTGGCAAGTGAGTTTGGTGGTGCCTTGGGTCATATCTGAGGACATTACAAAACAGGGCTTCGGTGTTCTCACTGACACCCATCCCTCTCCAAGTTTCTACAAAGGAATGTCCTTCATTTTCTTTATGACACCAAGCAGCTCATTCTATCCTCTTAGGGATTTTTATCTTTCCAAACCTCTAACTGATCGTCATCACTCAGAATACACTTCGGAAGTTTTACACAAGTGACTTCCAAAGTAGCCTGACCATGATCAAGCTGCAAAGTTTACAGTAAAGATTCCCTTAGCTCATAGACAGAGGAGTAGTACATGATATGGCTGTGATAGCTGATGAGGTTTTAGAACCGCTGTTTTTTTTTGTTTTGTTTTGTTTTGGTTTGGTTTGGTTTGGTTTTTAGAGACAGGGTTTCTCTGTAGCTTTGGTGCCTATCCCGAACTAGCTCTTGTAGACCAGGCTGGCCTCGAACTACCAGAGATCCGCCTGCCTCTGCCTCCCGAGTGCTGGGATTAAAGGCATGTGCCACCACCGCCCGGCTAGAACCCCTGTTTAAGGGCGATCTCAGATCCTATCCTTTGCAGAGATATCTCTGCAAACGTGAAATGGCCTGAGCAGTCACCGTTCTGTCAACTAAGACTCCTTCCTTAGCTCGTCTTAAGTGACAGCCAATCTCACCAGATATCCTCTCTAAAATCAAACAAAACACACAGGATGCAGGTAACTCTACAAGCACGGACACAGTGGTGTAAAGAGAAACTGTTCTGGACAACTTTCTCAGTATCAATCCACCTCACCTAGGGATTTCCACAGGCAGAAAGGCTCCCCAAACGCAAAGTGTTGTTAACTGTTTCTGGAACCCTGTCAGCTAATTATCAGCAGGCCAGAGACCATGCCCACAGCAAAACTTCTGTTCAAACAACTACAAAGACATCCTGAGTCTCAGCGTAGTGGAGAACAATGGTGGCACACAGATGGTCACACTTCAGCGCCAGTACCCTCTCAAATGTCACAGTATGAACTTTATGTAAGGCCCTGCTCCCACACAGACCACCATTTTTTAGCACATCAGAACCCTGAGATTTATATTAGCTAAGACCAATTTATCCAAACCATCTGTCCTCACCATGGAGCTCTCCACAGAAGCCAGGCCACGACCACCATATAGCGAGATCTCTGTACCACCAGCACTGCAGAGAGCTCTGATTGCAGCCAACATTGAAATGAAAGACTGACAACGGTGGAGTGTTGGTCAAATGTGGAGGACACACCTAAAGCGTGACCCTCTTGTTTACAATCATGCATACAACTTTTCAAAAACTATTAGTGCATCATTATATTAAGAAAACTGCCACCCATTGAGAACTACAGAGGCACAGGAGGGAAGACAAGGTCCTAGTTAAGAATGAACCAGGCTTGCTCACCTGTCTGAGTCCCTTTGGCAACTTCTTTCTCTTCCCAAGGTGCTGGCAGAGGTTGCGGTCATTTTCTCGATCTGAGCTGTAGTGATGTGAGTGGCTGAGCCGGCTCTTCTTGGAGTGAAAAGACAAACCATTGGTAAGAGCTTCTCGTTTCTTCTTGGTCAGAGGAGTCTGCCGTTTCTCCACTCTTTCCTGAGGCTTAACTGCTACATCTTTCTGCAGAAAAGAAAAGGGAAGTGGTGGTCACATGAGGATCTAAGGTCACAGCCTAAATACAGACTAAATAAGGTTAGAATGAGGGGATGGAGACAGACATGGTTGTCAAGTCTCCTGAACCCCTAGTGATACCACAGATAAGTGGATTCTATTCCCCTGTGTGGATGTCTTTGGGTATGGGTGAGTGTCTTGCCCAGTTGCTCTCCTTGTTTCTGAGACACAGTTTCTCATTGGCCCAGAATTTGTGTATTCAACAAGGCTGGTTGACCAGCAAGCCCTATTACCTCCTTCTCTCTGTCATCCTAGTGCTAGGACTATAGGTGTGAGCACAGCCACATTCATCCACTACAGCTCCAGAGACTTGGAACTGACGGAAGCAGTGAGGGAATAAAGAAAAGACAGCAAAGGGACACTCAGACTGGAGGGCTGGAGTTGAATGTGTATGGCTTGAATCTGAATCAGGGAGCCTGTGTACGTGGTACCATAATCCCTTGAAAGAGAAAAAGGCACAAAACTGGACAGCTGGCTGCAGTAACCCCACTTGCTTTAGAATAAGCCAAAAAAAAAAAAAAATCAGTCATTAAGATTTTCTTTCGAAATACACAAATCCAAGTAGCTAAAACATCCATACCTATTCAGCACAATATTGGGTTATGAGTGTAACTCAGCTGGCAGAGCATCTGCCTACCATGCATGAGGACCCGGGTTCCATTCTCAGTACCACATAAAACTGGGATGATAGTGCATGTCTATAATCCTAGCACTTGGGAGGGAAAGACAGGAGGTTCAGAAGTTCAAGACCATTCTCAGCTACACAGTGAGTTGTAGTATGGGCTCCAAGAGATCCTATCTTAAATAGACAAATAAGAATTAATTCGCCTCACACATTTGATTTATTAAAAGACCAGTCTTTCTTTCATACTGAAGATGTGCCCAGAAGTATACTGAAAATTATGTTCAATTCCATACAAATATGAATTAATATTTATGAGATTATAATTTTTTCAAACTATTTTATTTTCCTGTAACATATTAATCAAGACATTTTCATGCTTCTGAAGAACAGCTACAAAGAGTAAACGGACCCCTGCCAGGACATTAACTTCCCAAAGACCTGATAAGGTCTTAGAAACAGCAGTACAACCACCATTGCTCTAATTAATACTGAGAATATCTACTCTGGAGGGTGGGGGCAAGATAATCTGTGTCTATGTAGACACTTAAGAAGGGACTGACATCTTTTTAAGGAGTTTTTCATAATTTAAGAGCCTTAAGCTTTCAGACACTAGATGTTACGCCCCATCTCTAAAGAAAATTTATAGTAGTAAAATTTATGACTATAGTCTCTTGATTGCAAATCTTGAATAAACCACACTACTGTTTGTTCACTGTATCTATAAATATTTGCTGACTGATTACTGAATGTCCAGTAAAATAATTGCTTACGTTTTCATTGGCTATCTTCGGAAATGGCAAAACTGTCCCATATAAATAAGAGAATCAAGAATAGGAGGATAGGGAGATGGGTCAATTGTGGTACAAATATGAGGACCTACATTCAAATCCCCAGCATCCATCTAGAAAGCTGAGTATGGGGGCACACCAGATTCTAATTCCAGTGCTGTGGGGTGAGCAGATAAAGGAGGATCCTCATGCTGCTCCAAATGAGACCTTGTCTTAAGGGAACAAGGTGGAGAGTGAAAGAGCCAGTGTAATGGCTACTCTCGTTTGCCAACATGACTACATCTAAGCAGTTGGGAACACCTGTGAGGGATTTTTCTTGTTTGAATCACTTGAAGTGGGGAGACTCATCCTAAAACTGGATCCTTTGAGGTGGGAAGATCTATCTTAAATTTTGGCCATGCCTTCCGGTGGCAGCCTATATAACAGACACGGAAGAAGAAAATACCTGCTCTTTGCCTGCCTGCCTCTGCCTCACTATTCCAAACCCAGCATGAGAGCCCACTTCTCCAGGATTCCAACGTATACTGAAAACCTTCTGAAACATCAAGTTTTACAGACTGAAAGCTATTGGATTCTTGGACCTTCCATTATAAACGGCCATTGTTAGACTAGCTGGACAAGAGGTATTAAGCCACTAATAAGATGGATGGATGGATGGATGGATGGATGATAGACAGATAAAAAAACACACAAATAGATTATAGACAGATTATTAATAAAAAGATAGATGAATGGAGGATAGATGAAATAGATAGATGAATGATACATTGGATGGATGGATGGATGGATGGATGGATGGATGGATGGATAGATGGATGGATCAATGCATGGGTAGATGGATCAATAGATTGATTCTCTAAGTTCTGTTCCTCTAAAAACTGTGGTAAATTCAGCATGACACCCACCCAATGTCCTCCTTTGGTCATAAACATAGAAAAGGGCTGATTACAAACCACAAAAAGGCTGAGTATAAACCAATCAATAAAATATAAACCTATCAATATTCAGGACAACTGCATGACTTCATCATGGGCAAAAGTGCATATAGCAACCCACTATCAAGGCATCAGTGGCAACTTATTTAAGAATTCCCTTAGAGAAACACTGGCTACTCTGAACACTGCAGCTACACGAAGGGAAGCCATCTGGATTCTAAAAAGAACATTTTGGGATCAATGAGCAGCAATTTCAAAGGCTTGTTAATTCGTTAGTTGACTAGGCAAGCAGTTGCCGAGGGAGACAGTCCATCGGAAATACCTGCAGCACTTTTCTAAAGTGACTCCACTTCTCATTCTGCAAGGAAAGCATTTAGCAAGTGAATGAAAGGTGGCAGCACATGCCACTTGAAAACATGCCACTTGGCAGAAGGATTATTGTAAACTAAAGGTACTTGAAAATCAGCAGATTCAAGAGGGACACTCTGCCCTCACTTAGCCAATAGAAAAGAAGCATTCCCACAGAGGGAAGAAAGAGATAAGAGTGAGATGTCGGGCCTAGAGTGGGGGAGCGGAAATTCAGAAATGGGGAGAGACAGCCCAGAAAAATATGCACAAATACATGGGAGAATGACTCCTACTTTCTTTAATATCACCAAGATTTTGGATATGTCTCTTAAAACAGTAAGTAAGCATTCAGGGTAGGTCAATTTTAAAGGGTTGTTATTGTTGTTTTGAGGCTGTCTCAAGTACCCCAGGCTGGCCCGAAACACTAGGTCACAGAAGGATAACCCTGACTCCTGACCCTCCTATTTCTATTTCCTAAGTGCTGGGATTACAGACAAGAGAGCAAGAACTTTTATTTTCCTTTAGTGGCAGCTATTTATGTGTAAAATACATGTGATTCTCCTGTTAATCTATTTTAGGTCATTTTATTTCTCAGGGTCTGACTAAGACCCTAAAAAGCCAGAGATAAATCTGCCCCACCTAGGGCAAACCATGGGAGGAGGCTGGAAGTGAGAAGTCTGATAAATCTGCTTAAGGGTATTCATTCATTTCCAAACACCCGCATAGCAGCAAAAGCCTGGCTGTGAAGCAGAAAGATTTAGACACATCTGCTGGCAATAGAAGGGGTAAGTGCACAGGCATGCACAAAGGAATCAGTTCTGTGAATGTTTGAAATTATGTGATTTTTAGGTCACTGGAGATGGAGGGCGGGATGACAGGAGCACATCCATTCAGAGGCTCAGACACTGATGAAGCAAAGCAATTTTCTTCTGAACCAACCCTCTTCAGAACAGGTGATCTTATTCTTGACTTCCCCTTCTCGCAAATTACAATCTTCTGCCCAAGGCTTCCTCTGCTCCTCCTGAATTTCAAAATGAGAAGGTTCAGTGTTGTGCAAACTCAGGGAGGCTAACAGATTGCACACGAAACACAATGCAGGCTGAGGGGCCCCATTTGCTGATTACAGATGAAGTAGAGATGATGGAAAATGAAGGCACAATTTGCCTGCCTTGCAGAAAATGGGTTTTGGAAAGAGACTCTGTCTGATGTTTCCAATCACATTAATCTGAGGACAGTCCATAACTGGTGAAGTGGCTGTGAGGTGTGTCTGTGTGTGTCCAAGGGTGGGAGCAGATGGAAGGTGGAGGGGGGAAGTTCAAACAAAACATCTGCTCTGAGATACTTGATCTCCAGGACTGTCATAGTTTCCTTTCTGATGCTTTGACATACACCATAACAAAAAACTTTAGGGGAGGGCTTATTTGGCTTACACTTCCAGGTTGCAGTTCACCAAGAACTCAAGGCAGGAAGTCCAAGCAAGAACCCTGGAGAAACAAAGCCTGCTGGGTACATCACAAGGTCATGCTTAGCTGGCTTCCTTACACAGCCTAGGGGCACAACTACCCCCAGGGGCTGGGGCCATCTACATCAACTGGAAATCCAGACAATACCTTATATTGGCAATACCTAATATTGGCACATGGGCAAATCTAATCTCGGAAATTCCTCAAGAGAAGCTTCTCTCAGATGAGCCCAGGCTAGGCTAAATTGACAATTGCAGCTTAGTAGGTCAGTGAACAAAGAAGTGGGGAGAAGATGCAGAGATGCTCTTTCAGTCACAGGACATTAAAGGGTATTTCCCATTGTCTGAGTCTGCTGGGTCTTTGGTTGGTTTACTAGGAGACACGATGCTTGTTTTTGAATGACTTTGTCAACTATTTATTCCATCCATGTAGCTGTGTAAAAGAGCTGCAAAGGTCTAATGTGATAAGTAAAAGTGTTTTTTTTTTATTAAAGTTCAGTGCTTTCATAATTCTCTGTCACTATATGCATATTACTCTCCACTTTGGAGTTTTAAACAAAGTTAATGAACAGAATCTCAGGGTCTCCACTTTTTAGTGACTGGATATACAAACACAAAAAAAATATTTTAAATCTCCTGTACAGCATTTAAAAATTAATCTCAGCCATGTAAGGTGGAACACATGAAAACCAAAACTTGATAGGTGGAAACAGGAGCATCGGGAGTTCAGTGTCTGAATGTGACCCTATGCAAAATACATGTACACACACACACACACACACACACACACA